CAGCTAATAATGGAGTCTTATATTCCTCTACCAGTCCATCCCCCACAGTTATCACCTTTTGTACCACAAGGCCCTCCCTCTTGGATTGTCTCCCTCGTCTCCCTTGTCTCCTTCTCCCATGCTCGTCTCCAGGACTTCTCTAGAGCTACCCCATCCTCTAAAACTCTCTACCCCAATCTATCAGACTATTGCCTACTCTGCCCACTTTTAATTGATCTCTGAAATCCCTCTCTCTTCAGGGAAGCCTATCCTGCCCTCAGCTAATAATGGAATCTTCTATTCCTCCTACCAGTCCATCCCCCACAGTTATTTATTTATTTATTTCAGGTACTTATATGGCGCTGTCAATTTACGCAGCACTTTACATATATATATATATATATATATATATATATATATGTACAGTCACATCAGTCCCTAATGTAGGCCATAGACGGGGAGAAAAAAACCGGCCGTTTTTTTTTTAGAAAAACGAAAAATCAGTCGTTCAAACAGCTGACGTTACCACCATTGGTAAAAGAAAGTCGGCTGATTTTCGTACCGCCTACAGCCGGACAAGTGATATAGAAATAGTATATGGAAGAAGAAGAAATAGAATATGAATAAAAAGAAGAAATAGAATATGAAGAAGAAGAAAAATAGAATATGAATATAATAATAAGAAAAAGTTGCAACATTGTATCTATTTGTATCCATTTCGGATACAGATGTTTCTATTCGGATACAAATAGATACAATGTTGCTATACTTTTAAATGTCAAATATAAATCGGACTGAAATTCTTTTTTTTTTTTTCTTCTTCATCTTCATATTCTATTTCTTCTTTTTTTTCTTCTTTATTCATATTCTATTTCTTCTATTCTTCTTCTTCTTTATATTCTATTTCTTTCTTCTTCTCATTCATATTCTCTTTTTTTTCTTTTCTTCTTTTCCTTCTTCTTTCATGTCACTGCTCATGTGCATTTTTTAAAATCGGAAAAAGATCGGCAGATTTGTCCACCATTGCCGCAAAAAATCGGCAGAACGACAAATTTGGCTGATTATTTTCCAGCAGGGCCGATAATCCAAAAGGGCAAAAATCACTAAAAACGGCCGACCGATTACCACACGTACAATATGAAATCGGCCAATTTTTTTTTCGGACGATTTTTGGCCGTTTTTCATCCCATCTATGGCCCGCATACCCTCAAGGGGTGTACAATCTAAGGTCCCTAACTTACATTCATACATACACATACTAGGGACAATTTAGACAGGAGCCAATTCACCTACCAGCATGTCTTTGTAGTGTGGGAGGAAACCGGAGTACCCGGAGGAAACCCACGCAGGCACAGGGAGAACATGCAAACTCCAGGCAGGTGGAGCCATGGCTGGGATAGTTATTACCTTTTGTACCACTAGCCCCTCCCTCCTAGATTGTAAGCTCCCAGGATCAGGACCTCCTACCCTCTTGTATTGAACTGTATTGTTGCTGTATTGTCTCCCGTCATATTGTAAAGCGCTGAGCAAATTGTTGGCGCTATATAAATCCTGTATAATAATAATTAATAATCATCACTGGATCTAAAATATGTTATGAAAAAAGTAATTGCATTTTGATGAGGGGGTAGGAGGACGCAGGATTGGCAAAATATAAGCAGCTTTGAAACATAACCATATGAAAATCTAGTTATCCTTTACCATTTAACCCTTTGAAGACCAAGGGACGTATTTGTCCCATGTTTTTAATTGCGTGTATCATCTGATTAAGAACTTAAAACTCTTTTTTTTTTTTTGGTTTGAGTCAAAATATTAGTTCTTATCAACAAACAACAAATGGATCTAGCTTTTTGCCAATTATTTACAGCAACTTAGTTACAGCAACTGAAGTGTACGAACTTTAAAAAAAAAAAAAATTGATTCTTTTGGCGTTCCAAAATCTTACGATCCTCAAAGGGTTAAAGTGCATCAGTACTCTGCCAATGTAGGGAACAGGAATAGGTTCACTTTAATGCTGGCCCAGCATCGTATATCATGGAAGTGAGGAAGTTGTATCCCTCCAGGCCTGGACACGTTCAGTAATAGAGACCTAACAGAGGTTCTAAGTATATTGAAAATGTAAGATCGACGTTACACTTTAACTGACTGACGCATAAATGTGGTTTGGTGGGTGGCCGATCACCTGAGGCCTTGACTTGCTTCCATAATTCCATCGTATTCCAACCAAGAGCGATGAGCAGTTCATTCCTAGAGCAAAAGACGTCTCATAAAAGTTTATAGAGGTGACCACCAGCCAGTAGATACAAGACCCACACCCAGCACAGACCCAGGGCTCACTCGCGGCCTACGAGCCGATCGATGTGGGAATGGTGTTACAACAAACCGATGTGGATTTGTGGTTTCAGGCAGCGGTAAGAATTTCTAGGTCTCTGCCAAAAGGCTTGGCTGGAATGGACGGACACCTGCACTCCATAGCGCCTTCCTATCTCCGGCAAAGCTGCTATGTCTCCTCCGTCTCTGTGATCTGGAAGACGTAGAAATGTGCTGATGATACATTGTTACCCTGCTGGAGCTATAAATGCTCTATATGTATTTTTCCCTTCCCTGGCAGTGGCTTTGTGTTATTGGCTCACTTGCCGCTGTAACACCCTATTTTTTCTTTTTACACTGCATTCAACTCAAAGATTTTATAAAGAGATGGCTGTTTACCATTGTCATAGACTTCTACAGGGGTGTATTTACCACAAGGCAAACAAGGCATTTGCCTAGGGCGGCATTTTTTTCAGGGGGGCAGCAGCATTTTTCAAGGGGGCAGCACCGCCCCCCGAAAGAAGGGATGGAAGAAAGGACAGACGCAGCATGGGGACCAGGTGGGATCTGTGAGAGGCTGCGGGCTGCTTGATAATGTATGCAGAGCCCGACTCTTGTTGCCGGGGATGTCCAGAGCTGTGAAGGTAAGTGTCTTCTCTCTCACCAGGGCTGGGGGTTGCCAGTGTGTATGGGGCAGTGGTAGTGGAAGGCTCTCTTGGGTGGGGGGGGTTTGCTGTTGGTCAATGTCAGGCTCTTATGGGGGAGTGGGGTGTTTGTCAGTGTCAGGGTCTCTCCGTGAGGGGGGGGGGGGGCAATTTTTGTATTGCCTAGGGAAGCACGAAACCTAAATACACCACTGGACTTCTATCCTGTTACTGTAAGCATTGAAGGGAAAAGTTTCTCTGTGAGAATTCCCCTCCCCCTGCTCCTGTAATAGGTTCATTGCATGGAACAGCAGGCCAAGTAGCAGGCATCACCTGCAATTTGTTAACCTCTTGGTGCCGGCCGCACGCAAATGTGCGGCCTCCCGGCATCTGGGCCTTGACACCGAGCGGCCGCACAATTAAGAAAAACGTGCTGAGAGCGCGCGCCCTGTGTGCTCCCAGCACACATTTCCGGTACTCACAGAAAGGTCTCGATCTCCTCTTTTGATCAGGACCTTTCCTGATCATGTGACCGCCACAACAGCGATTCACGGCAGTCACATGACCCTAAAACCCGCTCCCAGCTTCTGAAACCCTTAAAGGGCCAGGAGGCGCCGGCACCAAGGGGTCAAGGCTAGGTTCACACCTATGTAGGTTGTGTTTGAGCCGTTTCTGCATTGCGTTTTAGGTTTTTGACTCGTTTTGATGCTTTTTTTATGTCTTTTGCATTTTTTATTTCATTTTTTTTTTTTTTTTGTTGCTAGGCAGATTTAAAATGCATTAAAAATACCGCAACAATGCACTTTATGCTTTTCTACAGCATTTCCATTGAAGTCTATAGAACCAAAAAAACAACTTTTTGCGTTCAAAAAAGTCCCTGACCCTTTCCAAAAAACGCACCGGGTGAAGACGCGGAGATGTGAATGTGTCCCATAGGAAATCATGTTACATGAACTGTACTGCGTTTCAGCAAAACACTGCGGAAAACGCTTAGGTGTGAACCTAGGGTAAGGCTCAAAATGAAATTTAACCCTCAGCAGCTGCTTTAATTACCTGCTGAGTATGCAGATGCTTTATCTTTTAAACCTCGCCCAGGGGCGGACTGAGAACTCATGGGGCCCCCGGGCAATAGGGGATCATGGGGCCCCTGTGTCCTTGCCCAAACTCAAAAAAGCCTATGAAAAAGGTACCAGGGGCATCTCATGGTTCCCCCTACTGACCCCAGGCTCTCGGGCAATGCCCGAGTTTCCAAATGGTCAGTTCGCCCCTGACCTCGCCCAATGTTCCAGGTTAACCACTTGCTTTCCAGAGGATTTACCCTCCATCCTGAAATATGAGACATTTGAACCCCGGGAAGATAAGGAATATCCAGCTATATATCCATAGAAAAATGTCGCTATCATTATTTATAAAAACATTCCTTTTAAACCAAGACATTTGAACCCCGGGATAAGATAGAAAAATAGAGCTGTGGTTTTAATTTTTTGCGCTATAAACAAAAAAAGACTGACCATTTTGAAAAAAAAAAAAAAAAATATTTTTTACTTTTTGCTATAAAACATATCCAATAAAAATGTTAAAAAAATCAAATTTCATCATAAATTTAGGACAAAATGTATTCTGCTACATCTCTTTGCTAAAAAATTTTTTTTTTCTTATATATACTAGTAATGGCGGCAATCAGCGGCAGGCATTCTGACTCTGGGGGGAACTGACTAACTGCCACTGGCATCCCCAGTGACACTAATACAGTGATCAGTGCTAATAAAATCACTGACACTGTACTAATGACACTGGGCAGGAAAGGGTTAACATCTGGGGCAATCAAAGGGTTAACTGTGTGCTGTGTGTGTGTTTTACTGTGTAAGCATGCTGCTTTGTATCTCTCTGCTATGCAGAGCAATACAAAGCAGCATGCTGGAACTGACAGGGGAGAGATCTGTATTGTTTTATTGTTTACATACAGACCTCTCCCCTGTCAGTGTTCCTCGGCGATCGCTGAGCGCCGGCGGGGAATCTCCAGCCAGGACACCTTGATCGACAGCTGTAGCCGCCAATGGCAGCAAGGGTAGGGTGCAGGGGTGGACTGACCATTTGGAAACTTGGGCACTGCCCGAGGCCCAGGGTCAGTAGGGGGCCAAATGTGATGCCCCTTGTATCATTTCATAGGCTTTTTTGAATTTGGGCAAGGACACAGCGGCCCCATGATCCCCTATTGCCCGGAGGCCCCATGAGTTGTCAGTCCGCCCCTGGTAGGGTGTGCGCCCCCTACCTGGAAATACAAAATCACGTATAGATATGTGATTTTGTGCAGCCGTGTAGCAGTAGTTCTGGTATAGGGCAGTCGAGAAGCCATTAAGGAAGCGTTTTTTTTCCAACAAAACAAAAGTTTAAAGATGCCCATATAGCGCACATTCAACTGACTCCATTATTTAAGTGAAATTAAAGTTTACCTCTTGCTCTATCAAGCAACAGAAAAGTGCCAGAGCAACCATGTTGTTGAACAGTTGTAGACCATTTTATGGTATCTTTAGGACCAGAGAACACATTGTAAATTGTATTTTACCCCCCAACTTTTATCCCTTTTACTGCCTCTGACCTCTAATATCTTCTAGTTGAGGAAAGTGGAAAAATAGCACTTGACCTGTATGGTTATCTTATTGGTATTGCCATCTTTAAATATTGATGTTGATGTAAATGACCTGGTTCCTGGACAGGCGGCTTATACATCCCAGAGGATCGCCACAGTCTTTTCCGAAAATTGAAGTACCACACCACTGCTAAAAGATCCAGATACAACTTTATTTCAATAGAAATCACAGAGACAATCCAAAGAGTATCCAGTGCCTTTCAGGGGTCCCATAAAAGCCCCCCTCATCCGGGCTTGGCTGCCAAACCAGCTGGTGATGAGGCCTATGTAATCACAGTGGAAGAAATAACATTAAAGGTCCAGTTCACTTGTGGTCCATTCACCTTGTTGTTAATCAAGTCCTGAGGAAGGGAGCATTTTGGACCCTGAAACATTTTGGATATTCTTTGGATTCCCCCCCCAACTTTTTTGGAATAAAGTCCTATCTAGACCTCTTAGCAGTGGTGTGGTACTTCAATTTCCTTTTTTATTACTGTACTATCATCTAACAGTGACCCAGCGACATAAGATATACGTGTCATCATAGGGGATGTGGCATGATCTTTGAACTTGGAGTTAAGCAGAAGGATCTTGATCTTTGAGTTTTCCTCATGAACTCTAACAATGTGAAGAGAGCACCATTTTAAAAGTTGGTTAAGGTCCCAGATTTGTGTTTTTTGGAGCTTTGCTGACGACTTATACAAAGAAACCACCTTGTCCCGGGAGGCTCAGCTTTGTCCCCAGTGCCAGCTTCCACATCTTCCTGAATCTTCTCCAGGCCTGTTGGAGGTGCCAGATGAACAGCTGTGTAAATGTTCTCTCATCCATAGGAATGAGGTTGTTTGCTATTTATCATGAGGTGTCACATACTTGGAGTCAATGGGTAATGCGTACACATCTATGTGTGAAAGTACAAGGAGACATAACATGTGTGTAGTATTATTATGGAGCCGAGTCCAGTCTGCACTACTAAGGGTCTCGGAGGTCCGTCTTGAGTTACATACAGAGCCATCTATCCAGTGAAGCAAGGTTTCCTGGAAGGTATTCTCTGCAGCTTCTCATTGTCACCCACAGTTCATCCTGTCTAAAGTTCCTATTGAGGTTCCAATACTCTAATTACTTTTTATACATCCAAACTTATAAGCTGTTAAAGTTATGTTTCCCTAAAGCAAGATTACAATACTTGCCAATTAAAGTGGACTCAAACTCATAAAAAGAAGATTTACTATGTTATAGGGAACATCCAGAAATGTTAATTGTTCCTTAGAAGACATTGAAAAATCTACCTTTTGTCATGAATTCCTCTTAAAACATAGTAGTGCACTTCCTGTGCGGGAACTGCAGGATTTCAATTCTTGTCGGCGTAGTGGTGACTGTGGTCCCAGCTGCCTGGAGATCATTGACAAGATCCTCACGTGTAGTTCTGGGATGATTCCTCGCTATTCTCATGATCATTGACACTCCACGAGGTGAGATCTTGCATGATGCACCAGACCTAGGGAGACTGACAGTTGTTTTGTGTTTCTTCCATTTGCGAATGATTGCACCAACTGTTGTCACCGTCTCACCAAGCTGCTTGGCGAAAGTTTGGTAGCCCAGTCCAGCCTTGTGTAGGTCTACAATCTTGTCTCTGACATCCTTGGACAGCTCTTTGGTCTTTGCATGGTGGAGAGTTTGGAAGCTGATTGTTTGATTGCTCCTGTGGACAGGTGTCTTTTCTACAGGTAACAAAATGAGATTAGCAGCACTCCCTTTAAGAGACTGCTTCTAATCTCAGCTTGTTACCTGTATGAAAGACACCTGGTAGCCATAAATCCTGCTGAATGATAGGGGATCAAATACTTATTTCCATCCTGAACATGCAGATCAGTGCATAATTTGTTAGACATGCATTTCTTTTGAATTTTCTGTTGCTATTCTGTCTCTCAGTGTTACACCTACCATTCGATATTTAGACTGATAATTTCTTTGTGAGTGGGCAAACATTCAAAATCAGCAGAGGATCAAATACTTATTTCCTTCACTGTATGCACTGCTGCTTCTGATTGCTTGTCTCACCAAATTTGAGAGTGATTTCTGGTAATCTCACTGTATGATCACTGGTCTTCTTGCAGGAAGAAAACTGTACTCAGGATCTTTAATGCAAAGATCTCCCTTCTTCTGCTTCATCATTTCTGTGGATCTATGCCTGCTCCACCACTCCTGTGGATTCTTCATCATTACCCCACCAGTTATGAAATCATTAGTCATTGTGCGGGGGGGGGGGGGGGGTATCTCTGACATGAGGAAGTAAAGCCCTGTTCCACTACCAAGATGGCTGCTTTCATACAGAGACACAATTCAGAACAAGGCTTTGTAAGTCAGTGATGTGGAAAAGTACAGCTACAGGGAACAAGTATAGCACTCAAAATTGCGGCTGGGAATACACAGGTTCTCCCAAAATAGTACAGAGGGGGGATAGGGATGCAGGATACTCCAAAAACATATCAGGGATTCACAGGAGGACAAACTTCGTAGCCCAAATCCTTTTAGTAGCATTTCCCAAAACCAGGTTTTACTCACAATGTTCCAAGAGCTGTCTGCCGCCCAGCTTCCGCATGGCACTCTTCAGAGTGAAGGAGACAAAAGTTCCTTCTCCAGACAAGGACTTCTGAAAAGTACCCTCCAGCAAAAAATCCTTTAGCAATCTTTTCAAAACCCTCAGCTCAGCACATGCTGAGGCCCCAACTGCAACTCTTGTTTCTCATTAGCTGCCTTGCAGGGGCAGCATTTCTAGGAGAATGGGAACCCTCCTAGCCCAGGCTTGAGCTATTCTGCAAAGAAGAATGGGCAAAAATGTCCCTCTCTAGATGTGCAAAGCTGGTAGAGACATCCCCAAAAAGACTTGCAGCTGTAATTGTAGTGAAAGGTGGTTCTACAAAGTATTGACTCTGGGGGGGCTGAATACAAATGCATACCACACTTTTCACAGATTTATTTGTACAACATTTTGAAATCCATTTATCATTTTCCTTCCACTTCACAATTATGTGCCACTTTGTGTTGGTCTATCACATAAAAATCCCAATAAAATACATTTACTGTATGTTTTTGGTTGTAACATGACAAAATGTGGAAAATTTCAAGGGATAGGAATACACTGTATGTGTGTGTTTATATATATATATATATATATATATATATATATATAAAAATATAATTTTTTTTCTTTTCTATAGTTAACTGTTTGCTGTATTACTGTTGCAGTTTCATATTTCTTTTAACATTGGGTACTGCCTATACAGCCAAAATAAATGTCCCCACCCAGCCAGGTGTGTCAGCGTGTGTGGTGCTGTTTGCAGAGTTGTGTGGCTCCTTCTGTGGTGAGCGCTACATTTAGAAATAGCTCTCCTACTTTACAGCAGATCATTATAAGGCATTGCTTTAACTGCCATTTTCATCAGATTTGGATTGAGATTTGATGATGTCTCTACTGCACTGATCACTGTTCTCCTTGCTGGTGAGGAAGCTGTACCTGAGGACCTGCGGTGCAAGGATCTCCCTGCTTCTGCTTTATCCATTCTGTGGATCTTTGCTTCCTTCACTTCTCCTGGAGATTCTTCATCATTACAGAGGACAGGTGATACCAAATTACAGAGAAAAAGAAAAGGAGTGGGTTGATGCACTACAGCAAAGCCTAAATAAAAACCTGAGGTCCTGGTAAGGTAGGCTGTAAAGGCAGACTTCTGACAGGTGGAAACAATGCAGTTTTATAATGGCTTCAGAGAGTAGATTCTTGTCAAGGTCCTACCTTTTCCCAGAGGTTATGTTTAGAGATGAGCGAATCGAACATGACGAAATGGAATTCGTTCCGAAGATTTGGAAAATTCTATTCGCGACGAATCCGAAGATTAGCAAACTTCGGATGCACGAATCAAATTTTCCCAAAAATGGCGGCGACATGTGTGGCGACGGAGAAAATGGACTGAGAAGATGGAGCGGGGATCTCTGGGAAGGCGCGCAGACAAGGCGCGCTGACCCATAATGCATTCATGACATGTGATCGCATTAGCCAATCAGCAGCCAGCCAGCACTGTGTAATGGTGGAGCTATAAATCGCGGCCATCTTAGAATTCTCCATTAGCCTCCGGTCATTCAAGAGAGACAGACCTGTGTGTATTAAGGGACAGAGTTAGGGCCACAGAGACTTTAGTGCCACAGAATCGTTACTCAGGGACACAGAATCGTTACTCAGGGACACAGAATCGTTACTCAGGGACACAGAATCATTACTTAGGGCCACAGCTATCAAAGAATCGAAAATTTAAAGTGACATACACCCTTTTTTTTTTTTGGTGGCTGTCGTGCACAGTTGGTGCTGCAGTTTGCCGATTGTGCAAAATAAACTGACTTTCTGCTTCACAACCACTATTGTACGTTCAAAGAGTTAAATCCATTTACACGCCGGCTGGCGGTAATATTTTTTGGGTGATTAGTGCATTCCAGTGACACAAACGTACAGTTTCCAGCCAACGGCAAGCTGCAATTGACCGATTGTGTACAATAAACTGACTTTCTGCTTCACAACCACTATTGTACGTTCAAAGAGTTAGATCCATTTACACGCACAGACTCTGCCATGTGCCACTTCAGGTCTCCTTACACTGTTGGTGGGTTCCATTTTGTGATAGGGTGCTGTATGGCCTTCCATTGCTGCTGCCT